GCGCAAGAAGGTATGGTACGTGCAGATTGGTTTGCTCATTACTCAATACTCAGTCTTGCAGAACGTTCTCTAAGTCTGGTAAGGCTTTCACTAGCTCAGAACGTAGCTCTGAAACGGTCTCTAACACTGGAAAATTGGGTAAACTTCTTACAACGTAGCTAGACTTCTTCTTGGAGTCCAAAACCCGAACTTCTAAAGTCGAAAGAACTTGTTTTGAATTACCCGCCGTCGACATTTTCTGCCACTCATGTGATGCAGCACGTTCAGATTCCTAGTTCCACACGCGCGTAAAACTGAATATTTAATGAGACACGTGACATTTATTGTCCTATAAACCTCTTTTCACTTGGACAACGTTTTTGGGATTAACTGTATGTATCCATTCGGGTTAAAAAAGTCATTTTGAGATCCCTATTWATTTCTTCATTCCCAAAGATGGATCAGTCGTTGTTTGTTTTTTTCGTGTTCTAGTTTCGAGTTGTTTTTATTTTTTTTATTTTTTTTCTGTCTCGTTTTCAGCAGTGTGGGTTAAATATTAACATGATATCAGCTGCCACGCGCTCACTCAAAACCATTGGTAGTGAACTATTTATATAGCGTTAGACGCATTAATTCAATGTTAAGGCTTTTTTTCAATATTAAAATTAAATTTACAAGTAGAAAAAGGTTATCCAATGGTCCATAAAGCTTTATTCATTGAAATACACTAGTGAATTGCGAATTCCTGAGGATAAATCATCAAGAATCATACGGGACTGACAATGGCTTCCATGTTTCAAAAGTTATTGGCAATCTGAGATTATATAATATATAGACGCAGTGAAGCCAATTTGAATCTTTTATTACGCATAGAATAGACTTAAATATAACTTGAGTCCTAAGAGTTTATAGAGGTTGCCTCAACTTAGATGTCGTTGTTGCAAAGTATGATTGAGAATTCTGGGCGAGAGAAGGATGTAGTGGAGTCGACAGAATCGTGACTGTTTCTCTATCTCGCTAAGTGTCGGCAAATGAAGGAAGGAGAGGAATAGAGAGAGAGTTAACTAAGGAATCAGTGTAATAACTGTGTTGATAATTCCTCAAATGAATTGTCCTGGGACTCGATCTCCTGGGTATTCTGGTACACTTTGTAATAAGTAATAATTTACCCCTCTAGTGGTATACTCAACAYAATCGCTTACCATTCAACCATGACTACTTACCGATCTAAAGCTGTAAAGTCCAAAGCGCAAAGTAGAAGGCAGTTTCTATGATACTTTTCTGCGTTTTAAGTCCTCATGTTTCGACCTATTTTCTCTTTTATTGCATACGTGGATTAATTAGACGGGAAAGTTAATCATACATTTATTCAAATATCTCACTATAAAATAGGTCAGCGGTTCGTCTCGTCGCCAAAAAGAGGCTAGACTCTTCCACAGTCTCTCGCTCGTCCGTTCCGTCTCCACACTTAGAGACTGTAACGGTACAATGACCGAAAGGACTTATGGGTCACGAAAACTTGGACCTAGCGTGCTTTGGGAACCAAAATACTTGTTCACAGTCTCTCGTTTTCGCCGCCATCTTGAAAATATTGAAACAATATTGAAAAAGAGGCCCAAATCGATATTTTCTATCACTAGTCCGCTGATCCGGTAGCACAGGCAGCCCAATCCGTTTATTTAGGTCTGATAGGTGTCTTAAGACGTTCATGGGTATTGTTCGCGCGCATCCTTTCTACGCGCATGAATTAAGTGAGCCCAAGCTCATCAAATAGAAATAATATATATTTTGTGCATAATTGGAATAGAATTTCACGTAACGCGAAGGCTTCAAGTCCACACTTGTAGCACAATAGCATTTTAAATTTCAAATGCTAATTAATTATTTGGTTATTTTCTAGAATTTTGTGAAAAATAGGGACGATCAATTAATTTTCAGTAAAATACAAATATTTTTTGACAGCTTTCCATGTTTTACCGTAAAAAGGGTGAACCACGCATTCTGACGACTAATGAACAAAGTCGGGGATACCCATTCTTTATGGGATCTTTTGCCCATGAACGTCCTTAATCCCTTTGCTTCCTCTCTCCGTCAATTTCTTCACATAATTCCGTAGTAATATGTGACGAAATAATAGATAGCATRATTTAGTTGAGATATATGGGTCCGCCATCTTATTGGTGTCCCATTGATCATCAGGGGCACAAACTGATGGCGGCCAAATCACCAAGGCTGAATTAAACTCGACAAACATACCCTCAAACATCATGTCATGAACTCATGCCTTAAAAACWCCACCAAATGATGTACCTCTAAACCATAAAACAAGATAGTATTTTTTGTAGTCAATCTTTGATAACATTCTTCCTGAGCAAAAAGCAGACAAACAGAGATACTCTCCTTGTTATGCTTGTCCATTTACAGCTCTTCCTGCAAGTGGAAGCTCAGAAGGTGGCAGGGGAATATGGGACATGGACGGTGTAATAGCAGCAGGAGCTACATCCTCTCCAGCTTTTGCCTTTCCATATTGCTCTCTCTAAAACTTCAAAACTCCAAAGCGTCTTGACAGCATTATTACAGGAATGAACAGGAATGAAGTGCCAATCAGGAGAGCAATGAGGAAATAAGCCCATCCAACATAGTCCAGCTTGATGGATTTTCCCTGGGTTTATTTAATTTTTCAAGAACAATAATCATCAAAATAAAATCAACAATCATATTCTAAGTTCAAAACGTACTATTTCTATAATGCTTGAAAATGCGTGTCAGAATTGCGTGACAGAATTTGAGTCACAAAAATACACAATTATTAATAAAGATAAGATCATTAATAGTCTACCGAGTTTATTGGAATGACTCTACTAATGCAACATTACTCTAGTACTTTTCAGTGCGGATACTCGAGACCATGAGCACATAATTATCCAATCAAAGCTGTCCAATCCCCCGGGCAACAAACGGCGGAAAATCTTTAGATATTTAATTTTTAAGCTCACTCCGTGTGAACTAATTAACTGATAGACTACCGCACTAAGTGCAAACTTTCGATAAGTTACAGAAATAAGACAAAAATATTGTTTATTGACGACGTAACTGTTATGAAATAATTGGTGGGTGTCGGAAAGTTAAAGACCCCGGAAAAAAAAAAGAAACCGATAAAACTTGTTTTGCCATTGCCGTTAGTATGGCGCGGACGCATGGCTGATTCTTCATCAAGGTCGACCCTCCCAAGGTCTAAAAAGGAAGAGCTTGTTTTGATATGAAAGTGTTCATGGCTCGGATTCCAAAAGAAAAATCATCTTTTTTCCTAACTAAAAAGGAAGAGCTTGTTTCAAGTATGGAACGCAGGCTAGTACGGGGCCGACGTTTTCCCAATGGGTTCCTTCAATTACATCTACTTGCAAGAACGTTGTCAGTACGAAAATAGAACATTAGTGATTTAGTGGGATCGACAAAATCTACCCATCGCCTTCTCCGTTCCATGGCTTCAGGTCCAATTGCATTCTCGAATGGAATCTTAATAAGGTTATCCCGGAAAATTTTGAACTCTTGTTGGAACAATATTGAACAGCGCAAACAAAAACCATACCAAAAAGTAATAAGCACTAAGTACACTTTGAAAACTCGTCAAAAAATATCTCACAGTCTAAACGTTCTATCGTTTTATAAACTAGTACCAAATACGCATGCTCCGAAACCAGGCACCAAATACGCATGCTCCGTTACCCATCTTGACGTCACAAATAGCTCTCGTTCCTAGATTCTTTTTTCACGTCCACCCTGACACAGGAAGCCCAAAATAGCACCTTTAAGTCTCAATATCACGCCCAGGAATTGTAGTAGTAGGGTAGGGATGGCACGGGCCGGATTTTCGCGGTGGATTTACTAATTTTGCGGTGGATTCGAGTATATTTGCGGAGGATTTAATTATGTTCTAATACGTCACGCATTACGTGTATCATATGCGGTGGATTTAATTAT